AGTGAAGGAAAATTAAAGATTAAAGTGTTTTTAAAGAGTTGGCAGAGAAGGAGAAAGTTTGTATGAATGTATATGCAGGATAGTTGACATGGCTGTTCTACTGTCTTGTATTTCTTTGCTGAAAGAAACTGTCAATGAGTCCTTGGTTGATCAGCTTTGTATGTCTATATTTGTTTTCATGAGAAACCACTTTGAAGATATCAATATATAATACAACAAGCATTGTTAATTCCCTACCACTCTGTTTGTAACTCTGGACTGTCTGTACTGTTCCTTTGCTATTTTGTAAAATGTCGACTGTCTGTTAATATTTTCCTCCTTTTATTTTTAAAATAAAAAAAAAGAGTTGGAATTGAGAGCAAAAATATACTAATTAAACTCATATGGAAAATGGTAGAAGCAGGAAAAAAAATCTATCTTTGAAAGTAAAAATTTAGAAGATAAAGGTCATTGCAAAACTATCAGTATGGTCCCTAATTCAAAACACTTACACATATTAACTACATGTTTCCTTTACACAGTGTTAATGAATGCAAAGATTTTTAAATGTCCATTTATTTCTATAGGTACTGGTTAATTCTCGATGGCTATGAGGTGCCTAGGAATCAGTTCTGCAGTACAGAGGCTCTGGGGCCAGGCTAAGGAAGCTGTTTTCTTTTTCTTTTTTCTCAGTACTGGTTTGCAGTACATAATGATTGCATTGTTTGTAAGGAGGTTGTTTTTATGCATCTAGTTGGGCAACCAAGTGAATGAATTAACAGAGAATTAAAGAGAGAGGCCACAGTTGGGAAGTTGGGAGAGAGTCGATCGGAGTCCAGCTGAACTAAATAGGAAAGCAGCTTGACAATGATCAATACTCAATTTTTACAAATAGTCACTACAATGATTTGGCCAACCCATGTTCTGCACAGCGGTGTCTCATATGAATGGCTTGATGGACAGAAATACAATTTTAAACAAGATTTTAATATTTCATTACCAAAGTTTTAATAAATAAAAAATTCAAAAGATATGAGAGATACAATTGTATGCAGAATTAACATTGTATACCAAGGATAACTTATAAACATTTATAAAATATTTAGAAAGAACAATGTAATACAGGAAATAAAAACATCAATATGTGAAACAAATTTTTCCAGTCTGCCTTATCTGATAGTGAAATAAATCAGCAGTTCTATATATAAGTGTAGCTTGAAATTCTCTGCTCGAAAAACCTGTAAGTCAGGTATAAAATTTACACTCTTATTCAAACTTACATAAATGCAATTTTTTGTTCTTCCTTTACTGAATTCAAAATGTTCATCAGCCACTCTTTCCCCTGATGGTAGAAAAACCTACACTTCACAATGCACAAGTAGGTGGTCTCTACTTAAAATGGCATACGTTTTTGTGTAAATATTGCTTTATATTAAGATTTTCCCCTTCTCCTTTTTTCCTTTTCCCTGGGCCGATTGTGAGTTGGGTGCCTTTGCAATGTCCTGCGTAAGTAGAGGCATATCATCTACTAGTTCCACTGGACATGTTGCCCACTAGTCCCACACGGTCTGGGGTCATGAGAATCATGTATGTGTCAGCTTCTGCCATGAAAATGCATTCTGACCATGGCCCGAGTCTGTGAGGTCTAGCAGGGTGGACTCCAGGAACTCCAGACCCAGTTGCTCACTCTCTGTGCTTTTATTGAGTGTCTCAGCACAGGCATACTCCTTTCCTGCTCTCAGGGGCCTGTTATTCACCAACAGCCCACCCACCACTATGCTGACATGACCAGGTCATCATGAAGCAGCCTTCAGGCCCATCTACGAGTTCCCTCTGCCATCGCTAATTTGTCTGCCTTCCTACTGTTGCGACCTGGGGCTTTGTTAAATTTCAGGCAATTCTGATAGAATTGTGCTGAACAGAGCTATTAGAATCAGGAGAAAAGGACCTTTCTTGGTTTCCAAGATCTACATTATGACCTCTAGCAATATCCTCCCTAATACACCTTAGGTGTTAATCCACCAGAGAGGACCAGAAAGCAAACAACAACAGGATTACAGCATCCATCTCTACTCCTGCCCCACTGAAGTTTTCCCAAATTCTCCACTCAGCCTAGAAGGAGAGATTGTGTCCCTCAACTCTAGAAAATTGTAATTTTGTTTTATGTAGTGTGTTACATACCATTTGACTTTTGAAGAAAAGTCCCTAACTTGAATCCTTCAGGCACTACATTTTGCTATTTTAATGGCAGCACTTTTTTATTCTCATGCTTTCAAATTTTGTTTTACAGCTAGTATTTTCCTAAGTTACAACTGAGTGAAGTAAAGCATTAAAAATATTTTTCAAAATTCAGAAAGGCTGCCAAACTTAAAATGAAAAGAATAAACTTATTATTGCATATTTAAAATTATACAAATAAAGATATAAAAGTAAAAATATCTGGCTGGGTGTGGTGGCGCACACCTGTAATCCCAGCCCTTAGGAGGCAGAGGCAGCAGGAGCGTTGCAAGTTTGAGACCAGCCTGGGCTACAAAGTGAGCTCGAACCCAGAACTGCATGGTGAGACCTTGCGTCAAAAAGTTGAAAAAAAATAAAAAGAAAAAAATCTTATTATACTTTGCATTGCTAATTTGATTTATGCAGAAATTTGCAAAATGAAACTTTTAAAGATATAAATGACTAACATGGACAGTATTGGAACACTGGACTAAATCCACAAAGAAAAAGAAATTTATCCTTAAATTTTTTTAACATTCTCTAGAATATTTTCCAAGACTTAGGAACTATTCTTATATAGTAGAAGATAAAGTTTCCTTAGTTGTTCTAACAGCCAAATCTAGACTTGATACAAATGCTTCACAAAAGAAAACTGACACTCAAACTCCTCTACTTTTAATATGGACACAACTATTTTCAGATAAATGCAACAAAAGTGTACTTCATTAAGAGAGGGTTTACTACCTTACAATCTAATAAATGCAATTTAACTCAGCAGTAAATTAAACAAAATATCCCATATTCTATCACATGAATTCTTAAAATATTTAATGGGCAAAATGCAGCATTTATTCCAATTTCAAATAAACAAACAAACAATAAATTGGATGTAAAATGTGAGTGGAGAAATATATATTTAATGTAACTGCAGTGTCATGTGTACTTTTACTTCAAAAATGGAAAATTTGGGAGTTTTTTTTGTGTTGACAAGATTTTATGGCGCTAATACTTTTTATAGCATCCCTTAAAGAGTTTTGGCCAGGTCTTAGATTTTAACCAGGAGAATAAAATAAAAGAAAATTGTATAAAAATTGATTTAAAAATAAAGTATTGTATGTGTTCTTATGATGACAGCCCTTCACAAATTCAACTTAAAATATTTATGTTTTATTACACAAGTATATGCAATAATCTGGTTAGAGAAAGTAAGACATCTCAATAGGATGGATATATTTTTTCATGATAAAATATTTTGGAAAGAATCAATTTACACACAACAGAATTAATTTAATGATACATAGGTAAACTAGTGTAAGAAATACTATCTTTATGTGAGAGCCTTCTCAGAAATACTTAGAGAATAGAGATAACAGGTTCTTAGTGAGGAAGATGACATATTTAGAAAAACGTGTATTGTTCTCCAAATAAATGTTTCACTGTAAGTAATAACTCCTCAACCACAATTCTAACAAATTATTTTAAGTAAAATCACCTGAAGCTACATTTTTAAAATAAAACAGGTTAAAGTACCAAAATAATTATATTAAAAATGTAAAGCACTGGTAAATAAAAGGTAGTTACTGGATTAATAACTCCTACCACTTTTTACTATTCAGTAAAAAAGACTTTTTTTTTAGATAATGTGAAACTTTGATTTACAAAACACCCTCTAGAAGTTGTTCTTAGTATCTAACGCTAACTGTCTTATAAGCAGACGAATTTTCAAGTGCAAGAGCATCTCCTCCCCCAACATTGTTTGTGCATCTGTGTGTGCACATGCCCAATTGTTTAAGGGAGTGGTAGTGGTGGGGGCGGGCACCTGGACCTCTACTCAGTATAAGTACTAGATGCAGGCTGGTACAGTTTCAAAATGCAGGTGGTAGTTGAAATCAAAGAAATAAATGCTTACACTTTTAATAGTGGTGGGTCAATGATCTGATAAAAATATCTAGCTTTTCTGGCATAATAAAAATTTATTCATTAACAGATTATGTTTTCAGTAGTACATCCGTTCAAAATAATTTTCTGTTAATGCTGGAATTAAAAATAGTAAAGGAAACTAACATCCCAAAAACTTTCCGGAGACAGCCAACATTAGTAAGTATTTGCTGCACCTTCCCAGCCTATATTACATGCGCAACCTTCTATTGCTGACACCGTACTTCACAAGTAATTATAACTCTTGTACTTTCCATTAGATGTTACTTTCCTTTCTCATTTTCTCATATATGTTCAATAAGTGTCATTACTGACAAGAGGGGAGAGTCCTCATATTGATTTTTATTTGCCATACAAAACTGCATGGGATACATGCAAGATTCCCTATTTTTCATCTTTATAGATAACCGTATGGCAACTTGTGTATGAGGCTTTTTGTGTAAAATGCAAGCTTTCAACCCAGGTCTTTCCGTAGCCCAAAAGACACATGTTTTGTTTGTCCCTTGGCTTTTGTTTGGCTGTATAATCTAAGATGTGTGTGTAAGAGATGAATATAAAGATGTTGATTATCTTTTCTCATTTTTCCTCTTTCTGTAAAATATTGTTTTATTTAGTATTAAAAAGGTTCAGAAAAGAAATGAAAATGGTTTTGTATAATAAGCCCTTAAGAAGCAAGCAATTACAGTTATTTTTACATGGTATAATCAGTATCCTTTTAAATGTGTAATCAAGTGGCATCTATAATTATTTGAGCCACTTGGCTCTTGCATACGATCGACTGAAATGCACTTGTTCCTTTTCCTCTCCTACTCTTTCAGTGCTTATAACTAAGCATTAATTTTTTTTTTATTTTTCCTACCACAAAGCTTAGTTTTGGAGGAATTCCTGTACCAGGCAAACCTGGGACCTTTTTAAAGAAAAACTTCCACGGATGTATTGAAAACCTTTACTACAATGGAGTAAACATAATTGACCTGGCCAAAAGACGAAAGCATCAGATCTACACTGTGGTAAGTCCACTCACCTTCCCTACCTGCCTGGCCCTTACTTCTCGGGGGTAAGTTTTGCTTTCACTACCCGCTGCTGCATCTCTTTTGAGTGTGTTTATCACGTGCTCCTGTAACACCCAGCAGCCTACTCTTCCACACCAAAGAACACCGGGGCCGCCTAGGATTGAGTCCGTGCAAAGCATGTTACTGCTGACACAAACACATTAAAGGTACAAAATTCAATTTTCCTGGCAGCAGCTTGTTTTCCAGCTGTGGGTAGTGTTTGCAGCATAAGTGGGGTAACATATATTTCGTTACTATCTTTAGGAAATGCAACAGGAGCAACACAAATTCTTTGGGATTCTCTACCTTGGGAGTTACATACTTGCCTAAGTATTTTTACCTCGGGTGTATGAAACAAATAAGGCTACACTTCTAGTGTTTCAGAAGGCCCTTTTATCTCATTTATTATCCTGGCAAATGATTTAGTCAGAACCCAGTCTTAATTTTTTTTTTTTTTTTTTTTTAACCACCACATTCTCAATGCCTTGCACATGACAGGAGCTGCACACAGATGTTGATGTTTCCAGTTGTACTTCAGGAATTGTTTTCCCTTCCAGCTCTTTCAGTATTTGCTGCATAAATTTTGCTTCTCTGTAGTACTGCTCTTTGTTCCTGTCGAATTAATTATTATTATAAGGTTATTCTCTATCTTTGATAATTTCCTTTGCTCTGAAATCTGTTAATAATGTGGCCATGAATGCTTTTTTTACAATTAATGCTTGCATGGCGTAGCTTTTCCCATACACTTTCTTTTATATGTTTCTTAAGTTATTGTTAGAATTTCCTTCTGATTTATATAATATTGCAATATATCTTTGCATATAGATTTTGTAAGTGTTTTCTTAGGTTTCATGTGATATCTTTTCATAACTTACTAGTTTCATCATTTTATCATTTGAGTGAAATATTTCAGTGTTATGTCTTTTAGCTGGTTGTGATGGTGTGCGCCTGTAGTCTCAGCGTTTGGTAGGTTGAGGCAGGACGATATCCGCAAGTTTGAGGCCTTGAACTCCATAATGAGGCTCTGTCTCAAACGCATCCCCCACAAACAAACTTACCTCTTTTTAAATTCCTGTACTTTCTTTTATTTTTATGGTTGTTATAACTATTAGTTCCTCTTTCTACATTTAAAATTATAACAGGTGCTTTTCTTTTTACTTCAACTATCAAACACAATTTGGAAAACACAAGAGTAGATTTTATTGTATTTAGTGATATTTTTGGCAGTAAGTAAAATTTGTGTTTTTACTCCTTCTTAATTTTCATAGATTTCTGCTTTTGTTATTTTCTAAACAGTTTTCTTTCATTATTCTTTTTAGGGTACACATGAAGATGAAACATTTTCTTATTTATTCTTGAAAGCTATTTCCTCTAAATATAAGGTTGTGTGTTCACAGTTCCTTTTTTAGAGCACTTGAAAATTTGGGGCCATTTCCCTTTGACCTCAGTGACAAATCCATGCTCTCATTCCAATTGCTTTTCTGCTGTAGGTAATGTATCATTTTTCTCTCAATGATTTCAAGATTTTGTTGTCTTCAGTTTTAGAAGTTTGGCTTTTTGTCATGGTATGACTTTCTTTGAGTTTAATCTGTTAAATTTTTGTTCGATTTCTTGAAAGTATGGATTTATGTCCTTCCCAGAATTTGTGGCGTCCTCTCCCATTGCTTGTGTATTTTTGTAGCTCTGCTTTTTTCATCTTTTTCCTGAATTCCAGCATAAGAACAATGAATCTCTTATTGTAATCTTGGAAATTGTATTTTACCCACTGTTTAAGTTAAATAATTTCCCTTATTACATAGTTGGTATTGCTTTTCTGTATTCCTGTAATGCTGTTATTGTAATCATTTATTAATTTTTGTCTAATGTTGTATTTGATAGTTCTAAACATTTCATTCCTATCTTCTTTACATCTTCTATTTCCTTACTAGGAAATCCTTCTTGGTACTGATGCTTTTTGACTTCTTAGTTGGTTTTTGAAAGACTTTTATTATCCTGAATATTTTTAAATATTTGTTAGATAATTCTAACTTTTCTGTCATCTGTGTTGTTCATTGATTTTTTTCAATTTGAGGTCATATCGTGTCTTAGTGTAACAACAGATTTTTCTTTTTTTTCAAAAGAACAGCTGGACATTTTGGGTCCTGTGTTATGATGAATCTTGTTTAAACCTGAGTTAGCTCTTTGTTCTGACATTGTCCAAGTAAAGGATAAAGTGATTTTGCCTCAATAATTCTAGACTGGGATAGAAGTTTGATGCTTTGCTCAGCATTCCCTAATACCAGAGAGTGGAAAAGCTACTTGTTACTACCAGTTATGTGAGAATTCTGAGTTTTCAGTGATCTGTCTCTGGCTGGGATGAGTAAGAAAGCCTCTTTAGCATTCCCTGTGTGACCTGCAGAGACATCAGGGTCAGGGGGGCTTTGCTCTTGGTATCACAGGACTGTGGTGACAGTCCCTGCCCTGCCCTGCATTGAGCTATCTTCAATACTATCTTTGAAGCAGGGAGTGGATGGATCCCTCAGTACTACTCAGAAGTCCAGGATTTGTATATGCTCTCCACTGATGCCACAGGGAGAAAGTCTGAATTCTCTGACAGTGATTAAGTTCCCAGATTCCTAACATTAATCTTTCAGATCCAAGACATTCCCAAATTTATCTTCTCTGATAGCACCAGGGACACTGAGGCATTTTGGGGCAGTGTGGCTGGATGGAAGTGGGCTCTGGTTCTTCTTGTGGCCCTTGGCTTGGGTGGAACAATCACTCTTTGAAAACATTTTGTCTCATTGCACTGCCACTTTCTTCATCCTTTGCTTAGAGAGATCAAGCTTCCGGTGGGTTTTTGTTTGTTTGTGTCATTTTGCTTTTTTATCTGTACTAGTTGAGCTCCCTGAGTTGTTAACCATTCAGCAGCATTACAAAGACATGGGAAGCAAAGCAGAAAATGCAGGGAGCTGCCCACCATGCTGTTTCTTGATTTCTTAGGTTTTCTGTCTTTTATCCACCATTCACAGCCCTTTTAGGTATCTCTTGTACATAATTTCCATCATGGTTAGGCAAACTGGTATTTAAATGATTCTGTAATTATATTGCCCTCAATAAGTAATACCTATAATGAATATTTATGTTTGGGGGTCCCATATTAACATATCTTAAATTAATTATGTATCTTATGCACATTTGGCGGTATGTAATGTTTACATATATCCAGGGAGCTTGTGCATGTACACACCACACCTAATTCTTTTGTTGTCCCTTTCCCTCCTCATCTCTCCCTGCTCCCTCCAACTCTTAATGCCCTTTCCATTTAAAAAAGCTCTATTTCCTTTATATGTTTTTGAAAATAAGCACTGAAAGACAATGGGACAGGTATGAGAAAAAGTAGCTTGAGAAAAATGCTTGTGCCAGCCATGGTTGCACATGCTTATAATCCCAGTACTCTGGGAGGCTGAGACAGCAGGATCACAAGTTTAAGTCCCATCTGGAGGAACTTAGTGTGATTCTCTCTCAAAAATTAAACACACACAGAGCTGAGGAAGGATCTACGTTAAATCCCCAGGTACATAAAAAAGAAAAACATCATACCTGGCTTTAAGGTTGTCAACGTTTTAAAAATCTGTATCTCATATGTGACTACTTTAGTTTAGAAGAGTTAGGACAGTGCTGAGAAAGGTTTTGTCCCCTGACTGATTCTATGAGTGCAGGGACCATACTTGCCTACCCTGGCTACTATGCAAGACTCTTGACAATTTGCCCACTTACCCGTAGCTTAGGTTTTTATCTCCAGATTAACCTAAATCTTCCCTTGTTAATGACAGTTTTCTTAAGACTAGGCAAGAAGGTTTAAGGTATAGAAAAATACACTTGGTCCTGTCCCTTCCATAGTACTATTTCCAAAAAATAGTTCATAATATATCAGTTCCTTGAGTTCATTATGCTGAGACAGGGACACTAGCATTGGGGTCATAGAATACCTGAAGTTTAGCTTAGTTAAATGTCATGGACATCAAAGAGCAGCACCATGGATCGTTGTACAAAGAGTGTGTGGAGTGAGCGGAAACACAATAAGCTTAGGAAAACATTGCTCACCTTCATTGTTCATAAACTGATGCTTAAAAGCATGGGAGCCTGAGCCTTACGGATGAGGAACTAAGATCCCTTGGCAACATTCATAAAGGAAATCTCCATACTCATGAGATTAGGAAAAATCTTCAGTGATGAGATATATTAAACACAGTCACTGAACAAGCAGAACAAAAGGAGAAGGTAAGAACCTGCGAGGAAAGAAAACAAGCTTTTGAATGCTGGCAGCCTCCCTGTTCCTCTTCTCTCAGAGAATCATTCATCAACACATTCACAAATGTGTGGCGATTTTTAAGCTGCTTTAGCACTTTTAAGTTGTGTAAAACTTCGCTTGTGTCTTTTATTTCTTGGGGCTTAATTGTCAGTATCATTAATATGAGTACAGAGAACCCTTTCAGCATTGATGCATTCGGAGGAAAAACATCTCAAGCAAACTTCACAGAGCAAGTGGACAATGTGAGTTTCACCTTCATAATGTAAAGAAAAAGTGCATTATTTTTCTTCTATTGCTTCTATTGATGTAGGTGAAAATATATATCATGCACACACATTTATGTACAAGCTCTGCTTCTTTGGAATTCTTTCTGGGAAGGATCTACAGTACAAAACTGTTGAAAGCTAAAGCATAAACTCTTTTACTCCTGGCATGAGGCTTAACGTCTCCCCTAAAGACACTGTGTCTGCTACAATATCATCTTTGCTCCAAGTCATTAAGCCACTGTGGGACTAAGTAAGGCTTTTGACAAAAATATTATTTCATCCTTTTCCACTGTTCATAGCTCCTTTTTCAGTGATAGGGTCCTGGGTAATTCACAGTTTATCAGAACGTTCAAGAAATCTGGCAGCACTTGCATGGAAACATGCACACATTACAAAAC